TTTGGCCTCTTTGCTGCCTTTATTTCCCATCTCTCCCTTCTGGTTGACTATGCTCTATCAGGAGCTCAACCCCCCCCCCGCTTTGCCTTGGAGGTTTCTTGCACACTGATTCTTTTTTGCTTTGTCTATCTCTGCCCACATCCTTCGTGGGAGCTTAAGGCACCTTTTAGTAGCCTGCAGGTCAGTATGAGCTCTTGACCTGGATTAGATTTAAAAATATAATATGCCTTAAATAGTGTGAGGTTGCCTCAGAACTATGGATCAGGACTCCACTTTCACCATGTGTCACCTGACATGTTTCACTCACACATCACACAGCCCCAATATCCTGACCACCAAGACATTACTTAGTCACCCGTGACATTTCTTATCTTGGTTTGTGCACAAAACTCACATGGTCGCCACAGTTCCTGTCTTCAGAGCTCTTTTACATGCATTGACAAGAAATTCTGGAGTCCAAGTTCAGTTCATTTGCAGATCCAGAAAGTTGTTGTCATTGACTGAACCTCAGGGCTGTGGCTGCCACAACCAGGAAGCAGATGTGTCTCACTGGGGAAGAGTCAGGGCCCCTTTCCTGGACAGAATGTAAAATCCCAGACTGAGCACCCAAATTGTTGGAAGTATAAACCCTCCAGTGCCAAAAACAGACACACGAGACAGAAAATCTTGACAAGGCAATTTCTCTTGATCAAAGGGTGCAAGCATGTGCTCACTCCAGCTAAGCAAGCACGCAAGCACAAAATGGCTGACAGTGGCTCCTCCTTACATCCCTGATGCAGTTGTACCTGCCCCTCACCTGGGATTTGTCCAGCTCAAAAGTTCACGATCTCCCTCATTTAAGTAAAAGGCTTGGGGGATGGGTTAGGGCATACAGTTTAGTGGGTAATGGAGTCATACAGGAATCTGGAAGAAGAAACAAGTACCCTTTAATCATGCAAGTCACCTAAGATGGTGACCTGAGGAATTTTTAAGTAATCTAAGAGGGTAACAAATAGTTTGATAGAAAAGATCATTTTTCTTACAGGATGAAGTCATCAAGTTTTCATCTTCATCCTCAAACAAGTAATGGAGAAGAACCTGAATGCAACTAACATAGAGCTAGTCATAGTGCAGCCTGGTGAGAATTTCCACATGTTCACAAAGGAAGAGCTCGAAGGGAATCAATCAAGGACATTTAAGGAAGAATGATCCTCAGAACCTCTCAGGGACAATTCCAGTTCTCCTAACTGCACTTAAGTTTTATTTCCAGATCCTAGTCTATGTAAAATCTCCAGCATGTGTGCATTTTATGATATCTGTACGTGAAGACAGTTCTAAAGAAAAAAATTAAAACGTGAAATGTTCTATTTTCTATTTATAATGTGGTACCTGTGTTACAGTCAATGAATGACTGCTAATTCACAGGGTAGTAATGTGTTTATACAACTACACAATTGTAGAATGTAAGTTACACCTGGAGATTTTAAATTAATTTGAATATAAATATAGAAATTAACAATTTTTGTATTTCATTAAATATCTTCTCTTCCCCCTTCTTAAAAAAATAGCTTTTTATTTTCACTGAGAAAAAATCTGACATTAAATAACATCAAACTAGGCATTTACAACTTGGCCATGCCATGGATTGAGGGAGTGTCTCTGGTTTGCAGTGCTGTCTGACTGTGAGGTGACCCCACTGGGATGTGGTGCCCCATGTATCTTCTGAAGAGTCACTCACAGAATCTGCTCTGGACTCTCTTGTGAAGAATGCAGGTGCAGCAGTGTCTTAGAAGAGGGGTGGAAGCTCTTCCCAGAGAGGGAAGATTCTATTATGACCAGTGTAATGTGAGTAATGTGTCCTTTGTGGGAAAATATTGGAGAGACTTATTATCAGATATGTTGTAAGATTGATAGTTTCCTAAAATTGGAGCTGCTTGATCTTAATAAAACCCCACTGTGCCACTTCCACCAAGGCCCATTCTCATTGCCCACATTACACTTGGGGGACCAGAGGAGAGATGTGAACATGTAGCCCAGGCTGTCTGCTTTTCAGAGAAGTACAAAGGTCTTTGTCTCTAATCTAGGCATTCATTCATGAGTATGATCCAGTCCAGTGGATAGTCCTCTTCCCTTAATATACAGCCATATGTTTTCTCAAACCTCTCTTACCAATAACTACCAGAGTGCCTGGCAAGAAATCCTTGCTCAATGAATGTTGGGTGAATGAAGAATTGAAAGGCTTAATGAGGATTTTATCTTTCTAGCGTTGCGCACTTCATAAAAAATGGTTGCTGTCATTTTAACCTTTTTGAATTAATACACTCACCATTAAACTCCCTTTGAACCATTTTCCTACCCCTATTGAAGATTTACTGCTAACTGTCAAAGAATTGTCAAAGATTGTTCATTACCAATCCTAATTTAGAAAATAAATACTATGTGACAACCTTTTCACTTCTTTAATTCTTTCCCTTCAAATATTTGCAAGGTATGTGCTTTCAGTCTATTTTGTTAGAATAATATGAAGAGTTTTTTATTATCTGATGGTTGTGTGAATAATACATAGGACTGTGTTAGTTCAGAAAATACTATACTCCATTTCTCATCATTTTAGTATGAATACAGAGAAAATACTGTATGTGATGGTAAAGAAAATATACCAGTAGATTGCATTTTAAAATATTAAACTATTTTTATTTTCATGTGCCGAAAGTGACTTTGAGAGTCTTGACTGCTTAGTCCTTTAGGTAGACAAAACTGCATAACCAGCTGGGAAAAAGAGTAAATATTTGTTACACAGAGTTACTGAATGGAATCATTTTTATTATTTGATTCAGGTAAGTAGAAGATTTATTTTAAAATATCTATTTTGGAATGAACTTACAGGTTCAGAATTAATGTGCATGATCAGAAACAACAACAAAAATATCTTTCTCCTCTATTCAGAAGACTGTGGCTTCCTCATTTTTCAAAGCATATTCTGAATCAAATAGGTTTTAATTACACATCTCAAGTCCAGTTTTCATGCAATTATTAATCAGCTGCTTTTTTATAAACATTCTCCCAGATAAATTCACTGAGAGTCCACTTAGGAACTTCAGAAAAGTGATTTTGTTCACTAAAAGTCCAAACAAAGATCAAGATCAATATGTTTGTAAATTTCTAAACACAGCAAAAATTCTAAAATTGAAATGTGTCATAACTGTCCAGAGAAAAAGATTTAGAATAATTTGAAAGCAATACTGATGCCCTCTCTGTGAAAAATTACAGAAAATAAACAAATCATTAAATTAGTTGCTAGAGGATGTGAAATGTAAATACAGGGACAGGATGCTTATCAATACAAAGAGTTGGTGCTGGGATTTCAACGAGAGAGTCCTGTCTGTAAAACTGTTCACCACAAACCAGAAATTACCCCGAGAGCTGTTGGTGAGAACTGAATTTTCATTCAATAAGGATGACACTGGGCCTGGAGGGTTAGGGAGTCAAGCTACCTGTTTGCAAATTAAATCATGAGAATACGATAAAGATGCAGGCTCCTCACTCTGTTAGATGAATAGGATATTACTGCAGCATTAGGGTAGATGGTGACAATAACAGCTGTTTATTTTTCACCCTTTGGCTTATCAGTTTTAGTGAGTACACATGAAGATGCAAGGAAAGTTTGAATTCATCTCTAGACTCTGCTAGAAGGAAAACAATTCAACAATAGGAATAATCTTCATTAAACAGATACATATATTGTTAAGGAATCATTTAATATTGAGCAAGATTACTCTTGAAGAGATTCAGCCAGCACATAAACATTATATATTCTAAGAAAAAATAGCATATTATTTCAGCAATTATATTATGCAAGTTGTATATAACAAAATGAATATTCACATTTATAAGTGGATTATATGTGTATGATGTATATATAACCTGCAAATATAAGTATATATACATACATTTTCATATATATGTATATATACATGTACATATTCTTTTTCAAAATGACATAGGCTGAAAAAATGAGCAGCATAATTTTCTTCTGCTCTTAACTGACATCTAATTTGACATTAGTCCTCAGAGGCTATGTTAACAAATACAGTGTTTACCCAAGCAGTCACTAATGGCAAACAGACCAAAGCATATATTTACTGAAGTGGCTTTTGATAGGTTCAGTTAGAAAATTCATTGCTGGTGTTATTACTTTTTGGTGTGAGTCAAATTAGCTTAATGTAGGATGGAGAACTTCTAAACACTGCACAAAATGGTACCACATTGCCCTCCTTGTGATTAATTTTATGGACTACTTGGAGAAGTGACCTAACAGAGCGGGCTAGGACTCGAATGTGATGTATTTTAATCTATACGTTCAGGACCATAACAGTGGAATTTTTATGTTTTGTTTTCTGAAGGTCTTGTGTGAAAGAATGGAATGAACACAGAGTATCTGTTCAGAATGTAAAACCTCTTGAGGAAATAATATCCTCAGAGAAGCTCCTTCTTCATCTGCTCACCTCTGTACAGGTGTTCTGAGATGCTCTGTCCACCTCCATGTTAGGACTGGTAACTTCTGAGGTTCCTGTCTACAAATGGCTTCTCTTTCCTACAGACCCAGGCCTTCACTTCCAAGACTCTGGTGCCCAGAGGGGACCCAGGAAGTGACCTCACTTCCTGGACGACGGACCCTAACAGAACTCGGAACTCTGGCTGCCCGGCACCCAGAGCGTCCATGCAGCCCCCTGCTCAGCTCACTCGGCCCGGCTGCAGAGAGACAGACAGAGCAAGGGGGCATGTGGTGCTGTGGTATCCCCGCTTCCCGGGGCCCTGGCCTCAGGCCACCCCGCACAGAGGACACGGCCTGGCAGGGACTGAGAGGCTGCTTCAGGTCTCACCCCACCCCACGCTGGCCCCTCGGCGGGAGGCGCCCAGACGCCACGGAGCCCACTGGAGGCCCATGACGACAAGCGTCGTGCACCCGCCAGGCCGAGCGTGGAGGGCACGCCCATTCGGGCCAGGCCCAGAGTCAACCAATGCTCACACGGCAGGGCACTGGTCTGGCTGACACCGTGCAGCTCAGTACGGCGAGTTCCACCCCCCCCCCACCCCCCGGGCCCGTGACTCCCTCCCTCGCCCATGAAGCGCGTGCTGAGGGGAGAGCTGGCCGTGCGGGAGGGTCCACCTGGGCAGGAGTTCTAAACGTTAGGCAGGCCGGGAGACCAGGACCTGTGAGGTGGTGCCTACCCAGGAGGAGGCGGGCGTCGGGGAGTGGGGGAGGCGGGGGGCTGGAGCCTGGCCGGGGTTGGTCTTGGGCACCTCCCCGGTGTCATCTGGAGCCGAGAGCGTGGGCCAGGCGCCCGCGACCCGGGCCGCGGGCAGCCCACCGAAACCCCCAGAGCCCTGTGGAGGAGCGCCCTGCCGAGCGCAGCAGCAGCAGCAGCAGCAGCAGCAGCAGCAGCAGCAGCACAACCACCACCACCGTGAGTCCCCTGCACGGCCGGCTCAGCTCCATGACCTCATGGTGCTTGGCCACTCGGGGCAGGATAGGGAGGGCACGCTTCCACTCCAGGAGCACCCTGCCCCCAACCCCCGCCCCCGCGTCCACTCGGATTCCTGCCCAAGAAGGGGTTGCCAGGAGAGTGGGGAGGCTTGCGGTTGGGGAGCTGTGGAGGGACCCTTCCCAGACAGTCCCCCGTGGGCCCCCAGTGTCATCTCCCGTCCTCCTCCGGGGCTCCGAGCTGGTGACTCGAGACTCGGTGGCGGTGGTCGTGACGGGGGCTCGGGGTGGGAGTGGTGGCGGGGGTCTGTGCAGGACTGAAGGGCAGGCGGGCGGCGACTCGGGCTCCCCACCGCCTCTCTCCGGCACCGTGTTCCTTTCCAGAGTCGCACGGTGGAGACCGGCCACGGGCCGTGCTCGTTGGCTCCTCCTGGGTGTCTACCCACAGCCCCGGAGCATGTCAAGTCCAGCTCAGAGTGAGTGTGGGCACGAGGGGCCTGAACGAGGCCAGACGGGACAGGACCGGTCCCCGCGGACCCCACTCCACCACGATCGCCTCCCTCCCGGCCTTGGCGCGCGCAGCGGTCGGGCTCCCGCTCCCAGAGGGATAGGGGTGGCGCCCCCCTCACCCCTAGGCCCGGATCCCGCGGCGTCCAGTCACGGTGGCACGCCCCACGGGCTTGGTGCCAGCGTCACAACAGTGCCGCACACACACAATTGCCCTTCCCTCGGGACGATCCCACGCTCTGCCCTTCCGCCTCGCCTCAGCACCAGGGCCCAAGTGGCCGTCTCCCACACTTCCACGGACTCAGACGAGCGCTGGTGACCGTACCCCTCGCCTCCCCTACGTGGTCCTCTGGCGACCCCCGGGGGATGTGGCCCCGCCTTCAGCGAGGGAGGCAGCGGACTCCACGGCCCGCCCATCACACTTTCAGGGCGGGGGCGGGATTGGGTGCGGGTGCGGTTGGCTCTCCCCCTTTCCCAGAGGCAGGTTACCCTCGGACCCCCATAGCCACCTCTCTGCTGGGGCTGGTGCTCTCCCGTCTGGCCCTCCTGGGTCCAAGAAACTGAGGGCTTTGCCTTTTAGGGTGTGCTTCAGGCCCCAACCCTGCTGGCGGGCCACTGACTCTTTCTTGCCCTGGCCTCACTGCAGGTGGCGCCCTGGTGGGCCCTGATCCCGATCCCGGGGGACATGCGCCGGGCACCGATGGTCCGGGCGCGCCTGCTGCACCATGCGGCGGAGGGTGCGGTTGGCTCTCCCCCTTTCCCAGAGGCAGGTTACCCTCGGACCCCCATAGCACCTCTCCTGCTGGGGCTTGGTGCTCTCCCGTCTGGCCTCCTGTGGTCCGAAGATAACTGAGGGCTTTGCTTTTGGTGTGCTTAACCCTGCTGCGCCACTGACTCTTTCTGCCCTGGCCTCACTGCAGGTGGCGCCCTGGTGGGCCCTGATCCCGATCCCGGGGGACATGCGCCGGGCACCGATGGTCCGGGCGCGCCTGCTGCACCATGCGGCGGAGCCCCCCGGCGCCCCCGTTTCTGGACAGCCACCGCCACCAGGGACCCAGCTTCCAGAGCCTCTACCTGGCCTGGGCCTCACCCCAACAGGCCCTCATGCTGGGAAGGTGAGCCCAGCCCGGTGCAGCCCTCCCCCAACCCCACCCCAACCCGACCCACCAGGCTCGCTGTGACCTGCCCACGCGGGGAGGGGATCTGAGGTCCCGGGAATGTGCCCGCACCTCCGGGGGGCCTCGCTTCCCTCCTCTCCCCAGGGCGCCACCACCAGGGCCAACCTCAGGGCTCCCTTGCAACAGCAAAGGACAGACAGCTCCAGGGAACGACGGGCTTCCTTTTGCTTCGCCCAGGGTGCCGCCTTGCCCACTGTCATGCAGGATTCCCCTCCAGCCCAGGGGAGGCAACTGCCGGCCTGAGCCCTCCCTCCCTCCCCTGGCTTGGGCTCCTTTCCTCCTTGGCAGGGAGGAAGGTGATGAGCTCCAGGAGCCGCTGCGGAGTGTACTGGGTCATGGGGACGGTGGCAGCGGAGGGACCCCGAGGCACACTGGGTCGTCAGGGAACCAAGCCCGCCGGCCGGCCGGGTCTTCCTCCCTCCAGGAACAGACAGAAGGAAGCCACCCCACGTGCCTAGCCCTCTGCTGGGCACCAAGTGAGAACCAAAGAGCAGAGCCCAGGGCGGGCCCCGCCCCTCTTGGCTTCCCTTCCTGAGGGAAGGCAGCCCTGTGGCTCCTAGGGAGTATCTGAGCAGCCAGCAGCCAGGGTTAGGGTAGGGGCATGCGATGGCCCCACGGCCTCGCCACATGTGGGGGCGCATCTGTGGCGGGGCGAGGACACGTACACACGGCATAGTCGGGTGGGGCAGAGGGTCGGCAGGTCCGGGAGCACGGGAGGGGGTCAGGTTTGGGCTCCTGAGCCTCCTCAGCACCCCCTCACCCCCCACCCCGTTCGCTCACTCGGGAGATATCCATGCAGAATGGCCCTGGGCCGGCGGGAGCCCTCGCACACATCGCTTGACCCCTCGCACACCCCGCGCAGTCCACAGGCCAGGGGGGCGGGGTGGAGTGTGGGGGGAGGGGAGGAGACAGAGAGAGAAATTCAGAGAGAGACAGAGACAGAGTGAATTTCAGAAAGAGAGACAGACAGACAGACAGACAGACAGACACACACCGAGGGAGGTGGTCCGTCTGAGGCTTCCGTGAGGCCCGTCCTCCGCCTGGTTGAGCAGGGCCTTCCCCCGGGACTGCCACAGCGGGGGTGGGCGTGGGCGTCGGCGAGGGCGTGGTCCGGGCCTGGTCCCCAGGGAAGGCGGGTCCAGCACAGCACCTCAGCCCCACCGCCCTGGGCCGGTCCCTGCCCTTCGCCTGCTCCACCACTCCGCCACCCTGGTGTTGCTCTCCTTCCTCCTCTCCTTCTTGGCTTACCTCTATGTGACCCTATAAATTCACTCTTGACACCACTTCAGGTTCTCCTCTCTCTGAATGTTCGCTTCCGTGACAGGGAGGCGTTCTGCACGTTGGTTGTCCGTCCACGTGGGCCCGCCGTCCACCTGGGGACAATTCACTCAATCCTCAACCCCTAAGCGCTCCCTCCCCATGGCCCTTCTCCTACCTTTCGGCAGCCGGGAGAACTTTTAGTACTTTGGAGGGGCGTGGGGGTGGGGTCGTGCCAGGGGCGGGAGGGCATACTGGGTTTTGAACTAAGTCCCGTACCGTGAGCCACTCCAGCAGCCCTCCCACCCCAGCCACCCCTCTTTGCTGTGTGCGGAGGGCTTTTCTCCCGATAGGGTCTCCAGGACCCTTTGCCCAGGCTGGCTTCCAACTGAGATCCTCCTGATGTTTGACATCAGAGTAGCCAGGGTTACAGGCGTGAGTCCACGACACCCACAAAGCCAGGAGACCTTCTGTCTCGCTTTTCCCTACGGTGCAGCTCTCCTGTCACTGTCAGCCGTTTTCTTCGTGAGGAGCAGAGCGGGATACGTCTCTCCCCAGTTCCTCGCTCCCCCAACCCGCTCACTGTGCCACGATACTGAAAGACATCCCTTCTCCCATTTGTGTCTCACTCGTTGAGTTCTTTGGTGATACTGGGCTTTCAACTCAGGGCCTCACTCTCGCTATGCAGGTGCTCTTCCACAAGAGCTACTCCGCCTGCATCCACGCTTTCAGTTCAAAACAGCTAGGCAAAGGGAGACTGCACCCCTTACCCCCACCCTCCACCCCCCCCCATCAACCTGCCCCTCCGCCCCGGTACAGAAGCCCTGGTGAAGACCAGGCAGCATTTTCATAACTACTGCCCCTATCATTACTCACTTCTCCGTCCTGCTTGAGGTGAAATAATTTGAAGGGGACCATGGTCCCCATGGCCTGCACCCGTGCTCCTGGCTACTCAGCAGGCAGAGATCAGGAGGATGGCGGTTAGAGGCCTGCCCAGGGCCGTCAGTCCTCCAGACCCTATCTGGAGGAAAAGCACTGGCGACACAGGGTTGCTGGCGTGACTCCTGTGGGCCGAGCACCTGCCTAGCAAGCGTGAAGCCCCGAGTTCACAGCCCCGTGCTGCCCCAAGCCAAAGACACAAAAGGAAGCAAACAAACGAGCAAACAAACAAGCCATATTAAGGACAAACCTGTGCCCAGAACAAGTCCGCATGATATGAAACCCTCCGACTCAGAGCACTTCTGCCCCTGGCACTGACACCCAACTCCACACCACCCTGCAACGTAAAGGAAGACAGGAAGTTAGTTGTGAGGTAGCGCCGGTTATGCACTGATACCGATGGGGGCCCGAAGACATGGGCTCCGCAAGCAAAGAAAGTGCAAGGACAAGCCGTTGGCTGTTTGTCACTGCTCTTCACGTTCTACCCACAGGGTGGCGGGGTCTCACTAAGCAGCCAGGGCTGGTCTGGAAGTGGCCGGGTTCCTGCATCAGTCTGGCCAGGTGGTGAACTTCCAGGCATAGGGCAGGCCGACCAGGCATGTCCAGTAGCACGTCTTAGTACTATACCCCACAGGCCGGCACTAGGTTCTTTCATCTGCGAAGATGTCTGACAGGTTGTGGCGGAGCAGAGGAAGGGTTAGAGGCACACAGGGTTGACCTGTGTCTTGTGCTCGTAACAAAGGGCTGATGTTGTGACCGAAGTGGTAAGATCAACTCTGTAGTAAGCATTTAGTTTGGGATAATTTACTCAATGCTAACTCCTAAGCACTACCCATGTGTCTCCTCACACATCCTGAGTTTTGTTCGGCTGTGCTATAGGTTCTTCCTGGGATGTACTTGTAGCAGTTGGCAGAGTGGTCTTGCAGGAGCTTTCCTGACTGGATGTTTTCCTGAAAATGAGATAGATAATTAGTTAAAGTTAATGAGAAATGTACGTTGGTGTCACACCACTTCCCTGTCTTTTGTAATGAGTGTACTTTTTGTTCTGGCTGCCTAGCTGTTATCTCTCTTCTCAGCTGCTGAGGAAATAACATTTTCTTCCTCTTGAGAATATTTCTGGAATCAACAGCTTATTTGTGTGCTTTGACTTACCTGGTATCCTCTAGCCTGTTCCAGGTATATCGTGTTCTGCATGACATACTTGGCTTCCCACTTGATTTCTGGTAGACAGTGTTTGTGATTTTTTTTGCAGATTGGCGAAGGTATCGTTGGTGTTCAAAGTTCTTCCTGGATTCATAATGTCTTTCAATATTTTCCTATGACCTAGGTCCCTGGTGAAATCAAAGCAGGGAATTGACCAGGGTGCCATCTTTTTGTGAATCAGAAAATAAACATCATAAGTTGTACAGTGTGTGTTTTGTCACAGAAGGGCCACAAGGCAGGCTCTGCGAGTGAGATAATAATTGCGATGTCTAACGGCTTTCTGGAAAAATTGTGTAGGTAAGGGAGTCATGAATGTGTGCCCCCTCAGATTGACAGTTGTCCCAAATGGGTTGTAATGGGTCTGCCAACAATGAATGAGGTTGTCCTTACAAGGCTTCCAAATGTAGGAAGTGGGACCAGGAACTACTATGTGTCCCCTTATGTGCTTCTCCACCCAGGTATACTCCTTGCAAATATTTTGGGGTTTTTTGAGATGAGGTCGACCACTACTGGCTGACTGTACTATTGTCTGGCACCAGAGGCAGGACAGTGGGTCATGGGCTAAGAAGGTAGCTCTAAATCCCCTGGGGTCTGGCCCTATGACCTGAGTGGAAATTCTTGGGAAAAAGCCTGCAGGAAGCTGCACAGTGAGCACAAAATAGAGAACACTTCTAGGTACATGCCTATGAGGTTAAGAAGCACTTATGTTCTAAGGGCTGGTGGCACAGCTAAACCCTGCAGATGAGGGTTCCCCACCTCTTGGGACACACAGGATAGAAAGGAGAGAGAGAGAGAGATTAGAGATCAGGCTGTTTGCTGTGCCTGGGAACAGCATGGGGTTCCACAAGTCTTGGTCACCTTTGGGAAGTCACCTTTGGAAGATTGTCACTTCCTTAACCTTTGGGTCCCACCAGAGAGCCACTCTTGACAGGGACAATTAGTTGTTAAGGACAATTTCCCTTCCCATTTGCCAGTCTTAGATCCCTTTTTGCAGAGGAGAGCGCAGGATGGACAGAGGCCTGTCCCCTCAAAGGGATAGAATAGGGCAGATACTTGTCTGGGGATCCACTCATCCTCAGATATCTTCTTGTTTCCTAGCTGAGGCACCAAAACATAATACAGGTTTTGAGTTCCTCTGGTTCTTGTCCAGGGTCAGTTG